GCGGGCTCGGCGGCGACCTGCCCCGCTAGCGCTGGCATGATACGGAGGTCGGGAGCTCATCCCTCCGCCCGCTGATGGACGAACGGCGGAGGCAGCAGGCGCGCGGCTGTGGCGCCCGCTCCCGCAATGCCGGCACTCGGGCATGGACGAACTTCCGCCACCTCGATTGCATCTTCTCCCCGGTCCTCAAGCGTCGCCAGGAGGCGGAGAAGGCGTGGTGGTAGGCCAAGGTGGCCGCGGCCGCCGGAGATGAAGCTGCAGCTACGCACGTCCCGGCACTCTTCCAGGAGTATCAGCTCGCGCAGGTCCTCTCCAGAACCCTCATGTATGACACCCTCCATGGCAAGCCGCCCCACTACGACGACGAGGGCGACGACGATGATGAGTAGCTAGATCTAGTATGATTTCCGTTTAGTAGAACTGTTTAATTTTGGTTTGTATAAACTCCGACCGGTATGGTATGTAGTATGATGAACACCCCTCTGCTATGTATGAACTCCAGTGATCTATGTTTAAAGTGTGAACTACAAATTTAAATACGCGGTATCGGTATGAAGGATCTATTGTGGCTAAGGGTACGGGTCCTGCAAAAAAACGTTTCCGGGATACCATAAATGAGTTTTGCATGATGGCTGGTTGCGAGATCTGCTAAAGATGCTCTTAGTCCAGTAGACTTTGGTTAGTAAGAGCAACTTTTTGTTTTTCAAATATGTAGCTTGCGAAAAAGGGGCATATGTTTATAGTATCCGCATACATGGACATGGCCATGAGAACACCAGTAGTATTCATCCACGACCGAAATACAGGTGTTAAAGTTGACTGACATAAATCTACACACTGAATGGAGTCATAGAGCAGGTGGATATAGTGTAAGTAAATGAATATTTAGGCCTCTTTTGGTTCATACGATAGGAAAATCATAGGAATAGAAAAGTCATAAAAAATGAGATGACATGTATCTCAAATCCTATGAGTAGGAATAGGAAAGGAGATGTTCTTTGATTCACATCATAGAATTTTTTTTCATTAGGCCTAGGCTAATGTTTATTTTCCTATGAAATGTGAGGGATAGAAAGAATTCCTGCACAGAAATAGGATTCCATTCCTACAAACCAAAGGGCTTTAAAAAAATCCTATAAAAATCCTATCCTATAAAATTCCTATAAGATTTCTCTAAACCAAAGAGGCCTTTAGATTATTCATCTCAAGGACAGGTGCATGCATTATAAAGACTCTGGTATTGAAGTAATTCCTCTGTAAACTAATATAAGACTGTTAGACATCAGTAGTGATCTAAAACGTCTTATATCCTCAACAAAATATATTCTCAGAAGCTCCTCGTTAGGTAATCACCGACTGAGAACTACTCCAGTAGAATCAAGAAAAGAGGAATTAACCAGCATCAAGAAAATAATAATAATAAGGAGAATCGACCAGAAGTTTGCAGTTACAAAAACCTCAATCCAGTAGGCAATAAGCAATTAATATCAGAGCTTGAGGGACAGATCGATCTCCTCGTTGATGAGGTCCCGGCGAGCTGCCTCCGGCGGGGACGCCCTCCTGTGCGAGGAGCTCCCCGTGGCATTGCTAGTCGGGTCCTTCTCTCTCCTGCTGGCCTCACCGAGCTGGCCCACGTGGCCCTGGCGGCGCGTGTAGGCCAGCTCCCGCGTGCGTTTGGCGACGCTGCGCTCGGACTTGTGGGCGTTCTGGTGGCCGCCTAGCGCCTGGGAGTAGTAGAACTTCTTGGTGCAGTAGGAGCAGGAGAAGTAACCAAACCACTCCGGCGACGAGGCCCGCTGCAGGGAGAGGTTGAGGTCGATGTTGCCCTCTCCCTCGCCACCGTTGGACTCCATATGTTTGCCGGACGGCCGGTGGTAAAAGCGCAAAGGTGGTGCGCACGGTGGCCTCAGCAGGAATTAGCTAGTTAGGCTCGCGTATTCTAGTTGTCTAGGAGAACTGATGCAGCGCTGCCCCAATTTCTGAGCCAAATGATTAAGTAGTAGCTAACCCTAGCAGAGAGAGGGAGAGCCCTGGGGAGAAGAAGGTGGTGTAGTGAAACTAACCCTTTTCGCAAAGTTCAACACAAAATGAACCTAATTTGAAACTATTTCACAAAATGATCCACAGACATGATGCGAGAGGGAGCCATCCAATGCTAATTATACAGTATTCGGTTGGGATATTTATGGTTTAGTGTCCGGTTGAGAGGAGAAAGGAGAGATGGACCATGCATGTGTGGTCGGGAGAAGAGACAGAACAGAAGCACCATGCATGTGATTGGTCAAGTGCATATCCGGACTGTGGCAAAGCCTCCAAATTTGTCTCTTGGATATCGAAATCTGTACACTCGGACTGCTAAGCAAACATATATAGATTCCGGTTGGATGACAAAAGTGCTCCGGACACTATGGTTCGAACATATAGTAAATGTCTGAGGGTCTGCTTTGGAGATGCCCTTAATGCTAGCTTCTTATATCCTTTTAATGAGACAACTTTTTTTCCGAGAAAACTTCCGAGTTATTCATTTTCAATTATGATAGTACAACAAACATCAGAAATAATAAAAGTTATATCTAGACCCGTAGACCACCTAGCAAAGACTACAAGCACTAAAGCGAGCTGAAGGCATGTCACCATCACTGGCCCTCCCTCGTCGGTGCCGGGCAAAACTTGTTGTAGTAGACGGTCTGAAAGTTGTCGTGTGAAGGCCTCATAGGAGTAGCGCATCAAAACAACAATTGTCGCTGATGAAGAGTAGTGTAGATCGGAAGGATCACACCTGAAGACACACGAATATAGACGAACGACAACCAGATCCGAGGAGATCCACTAGAGACAAATCTGCCGGAGACATACCCACGTCCATCAACGATGCTAGACGCACCACCGAGCGAGGGCTAGATGGGAAGAACCTTGTTACATCTTCAGGAGCTGCCGATGTCTCGCCTGCTTGAGAAGGACACGCACCCTAACGAAACTAAAAGAAAAATCTAAAAATTTAGCCTTCCCACCGATGAGGGTCGAGATCCATCAGACCCCCATAACCCTAAGGCCATCGGAGACAACTCTACATACTCCCTCCGTCCGCGAATAAGTGTACTTCTAGCTTTTGTCTTAAGTCAAAGTTTTAAAATTTTGACCAACTTTATAGGGAAAGTAGCAGCATTTATGACACTAAATTAGTATCACTAGATTCGTTTTGAAATGTATTTTCATAATATATCAATTTGATATTATATATGTTACTACTTATTTGTATATAGTTGGTCAAAGTTTTAAAACTTTGACTTAGGATAAAAACTAGAAGTACACTTATTCGTGGACGGAGGGAGTACATGCTAAAAAAAATCAGTATGATTCATGATACCCACAGCCCGCTAGAGCAATAAAAAACTAGGACGCATACTCAGTATCGGCTAGCTAAAGCAATAAAATTGAGAAATGATTTAAATCACCAGACTGATTGCTGGGTTTTCGTCCACCGCTTCGCTGATGGGAGCATCCAACTCTGCTTGGTACGGCCGTCGATGACCTCCTCTCGTCGTCCACGACCATCACCGACCGCCTCCTGTTGCAATTGCAACGACAGAGTTGAAAATAATGGTGGCGAACGACTGCGACGTGGAGTTTCTGTCATCTTGTTTCCCCTCTACAATTTTCTGCAACATCATTTACGTTGCAGAAGTACCTTCTCCAACAACTCCTATGTTGCAAAAATGTGAAGATGGAACAAAAATTCTGCAACATCAACTTCGTTGCAAAAAAAATCCGTAACAAGACCAATGTTGCAAAAACATTCTGGAATAAAGCCTCTGTTGGAAATAAAGTTCTGCCACAAGGCATCTGTTGAAAAAAAACTGCAACAAGACATCTATTGCAATGATCAGGGCATTGCTCGGCCGCTCGATGCGCTAGATCGGACGGCTCGTGACCCGGCTGATCTTTTTAAAAGATCAGCCGACGGACGCATAGCGCCCCCCATAAAAATTCCCGTTGACTTCAGGGGGAAAATCTGAGGACAAAGGGAAACGCTGCTCATCATCCGGCTGATAATCACGCCCGCCCGTCCGCCGGCTTCGTGGCTGTTTGATCATGTGTTGATCAAACGGTCGACAGCGTCCCCGGGTCCGTCGAGCCGCGTCTGTTTTCCTGCAACTCACCTGTTGTTTCAAGACAGTCATTCATGCAACTGGGTAAAACTAGAGGGGTTTCGAGGCTTGTCTGGAAGCCGCATCTGTTTTCCTGCAACTCACTTGTTATTTTAAGACAGTCATTCCTGCAACTGGGTAACAGTAGGGAGGTTTCAAGGCTCGTCTGGATTAGAGGGCGAGCGGATGAATTTGGGAGCCGGCGGACTGGCGCGGCGGCGCAAGGCATTGGGCCACGAGGCCTTATCCACCGCTGTGGCGACGACGACTTGCTCGGGGTCGGCGGTGGCCGGCGATGACTCAAGAAGGTACGATTCAGAGATCAGCGGTTTCTGCAAGAAAAATCTTGTTTCAGAAATAAGAAAACGATTCGGCGATGAAGTTTTTTTCAGCAACAGGGTCTAGTTTTAGAAAGTTTCTGCAACACATGTCTTGTTTAAGAAAAAATGGTTCGGCAGCGATTTTTTTTCTGCATCATGGGTCTTGCTTCAGAAACATAGCCCCTGTTGCAGAAAGCATTGGAGGAGCACACGATGTTAGAGCGTACGAGGCCAAGCATTGCAACATGATGCATGTTTCACAAACATAGCTTCAGTTACAGAAATCGTCAGAGGAATGCCCAGCGTGGGAGCTCGTCGTCATCATGCTGGAATAGAGGCCGCGGCTGTTCTCGAAGCAGGCCCCCTCGGTGAGCTCGATTTGCGTCAGATCCAACCATGGTGCACCATAGTGTTGCAGAAACTTCAATTTAGTTCCTGCACGCCGGCGGCGAGCTGATTTTGCGGTGGATTGGCGGCGACGCCGCGTGAGGCGCAACTCTGTCGAGGCCGGGGCCAATAATGTTGTTTCCTCAACAGAGCGTTTGTTGCCGGAAATAACGAGTGGGCATGCGGAACGCATACACTAGATTGGACGGCTATCAGTTCGGGCATCTAACGGCCGTCGAGGCGACGGATAAAATGTAAACATCGGCCGACCGATGCATAGGGTTGCCCTTAATTTATCTATGTAGTATGTAGTATTACCTTGATCTCAAATTAGTTGTCTTAGATTGTCTAGATACATATGCATGTCTAGATATATTCATATTCTAGATAAATTTAAGTCAACTAATTTAGAATAGAGGGAATAACAGGCTAGCTTATCTATGTAGTATGTAGTGCGTAGCTTTTATATGTAGCGTGGTGTAGTATACATCTGAGAAATAACATTTAAGATATATAGTTGCAACTGATGAAAAATAAGGGATGACAGAATAAATCTCCGCGGACACACCGGGACGTGTCCGTAGACGCTCTCCGTGCCACGAGCCCACGAGCAAGTCCCGTGTAGGGTCAACGTAGCGTAACTCTACCGTATGTAGCAGTAGCAGACAACACAAAGCACGCGTCCTTGTCTGCTGCTCTTTTTTCTTATCATAGTACAGACATAAGCGCTAATACATACTCCTCCGTTCAAAAATACTTATCATCAAAATGAATAAAAAAAGATGTATCTGAACTAAAATACGTCATCCCATTTTATTCATTTTGATGACAAGTATTTTCAGACGGAGAGAGTACGTAAATACACTCACCCTATGAATGTATACGCACACCTTATCCCTATAAGCATCTTCAAGATTTTACGAAGTCACCATAGGCGTCTCGTAGTCGAGGAGAACATCTTCTCCTATTGAACACGTATCACCGGAAATTCTGAAATAGATTCAGGATAAATGCGAGCACAAGGATTTGCACCTTGGTGGTATGGGATAACACTGTTCTCTTAACCATCCAACTACAGGTTGGTTCGCTTGTCTACTACTTTTGGTATAGCTAGTACGTGTCAGGTTTTTCTTATTACTCTAGCTTGCTGTGAAGATGGTGAATCATACTAATTTTTAGCACTAGTAAGTATGTACATGCAAAACACGTCTTCGACTGGAACCATGCTATACTATGAAGCATAAATATTTCTATCATAGCATAGAATAACTCTCTTGAGATTTTCAAATTTGATGCAAGGTGCATAGAATTCCTAATTCCTGAGTCATAAAGACGTGTTTCATTAACCAATGTGCCCCATACCCAAATAGGGCAACACCAGGCGTCATCCAGATTCAGCGATATGTCCTCCTCCTGTGTTGTACGATCGGGGCGTGTGCGTTGTTGGATTTGCCCGACTACCCTGGCTCCTATACCCCCTCAGTACCACCCCCTGGGGACCACTTGTTGCGCCGCTTCAAAGCAGACATCGGTCCCGTGTATCACTGCTCGCAGCGCCCCATTCTGCACCACCGCCATAGCCGATGCCGGCCGCCCCACAGCACCTCTCACAGCAACAAAACAAGGTGTTTGCAGCGCCGCTTCACCCGACTCAGAACAGTTGTTGCCGGCTCGGCTGTGCCGCTCGCCTCCCTCACAGAATGGCATCACTCCGCTCCAGCAGCAAACCATCAGGGTGCATCGATATCACATCTTTATCACCACAATAAGACATAAATCACGCAAATCATTACCTACAGGTCCTATGCCCAAATAAGGGTCATTCCAGGTCCATGAAAAAAAATGAAAAATACGGGTAGCTGTTCGAGATTGTAAGTCTAATAGTAGGTCTTAGATGACAAATGACAAAATCTAGGGGTGTGTTTGGTTGAGGAACGAAGTTGAATGGAATGGAATGGTTCCATTCTATTGGAATGGGTCGGTTCCGTTCTTGTGTTT